CCAGTACAGAGGATAGAGTTTATTGGAGCGGTGCTCGATTCTACCCAGGCCAGACTTTCCTCCCAGAAAGTCAGTTTCAGACAATCATGTCCCTGATAGTATACCTCAAGGGCCACCCAATTACAACAGCCCAGGACTGTCTGATGCTTTTGGGCCACATGGATTTATGTACGTATGTAGTGCAGCACACAAGAGTACACCACAGACCCCGTCAGACACGACTGGCCTCGGTGTACTCGCCAAACCACCACCATCTGGACTCTGATCTCACAGTACCTTCCCCGGTCCTCATCTCCCTCAACTGGTGGCTGGACCCGCTGGCGGTTTGTGTGGGCATTCCCTTTTCAGGGCCCCAACCATTGATATCCTTGATCTCAGATGCATCAGTGCTAGGCTGGGGAGCTCACCTGGGTCTCCTCAGGACTGAAAGCCTTTGGTCTCTGGAAGAGCTCTCGCTAAAAAGTCAGAGAGCTCAGGGCAGTTCACCTGGCCGGTCAGACGTTCCTGCCTCACATTATGGGCAAGAGCTTGTTGGTTCTTACGGACAACACTGCAGCCATGTTCTATCTCAACAGGCAGGGAGGAGCTTGCTCTCCCCCTCGCACCCCCATGTCGAGAAGCAGTTCAGCTATGTGAGTTCTGCATAGCTCACTCAATCCACCTCAAGGCTTCTCACCTTTCAGGAGTGCAGAACGGGTGGGCAGATCACCTCAGCAGGTCTTTCTCCAGTCATATAAGTGGTCCCTTCGCCTGGACATCGCAAGAGACATTTTCCAGCAGTCGGGGACTCCCTGGGTAGACCTTTTTCAACCAGGCACAACAGGAAGTGTCACCAGTTCTGCTCCCTGTGAGGTCTCAGCCTGGGATTGCTCACCGATGCCTTCCTACTCCCGTGGACAAGTCACCTGTATTACGCTTTCCCTACTATCCCATTCATGCACAAGGGTCTGCTCAAGATCAACTGGGACCGGGCATGGGTCATTCTAATAACTCCAGCTTGGCCACGTCAGCATTGGTTCGCCACACTGCTAGGACCTCCATGGTGGCTATGATGCCGCTCTCGCTACATCTGGACCTGATCTCTCTGCATCATGGTCGTCTGCTCGACCTGAACCTCAGCTCTCTCCACCCGACAGCCTGGAATAAATGCCATGGCTAAATCCCAGAAAGCTGGCTTGCTCGGAGCAGGTTTGTTAGGTCCTATTGTTACCGTGATTCTAAAAACCAAAAGCTCTTGGTAACTATTACTCTTGATGGGGCACTGGCAGGAAATAAATCACTGAAGAGACAGCCGTCCGACCGATAGGTGGCTGGCGCAAACAGTATAATACAAGAGTTCTTTCACTTAAAGCTGCACTTTATTTTAGTCTCAAGCACTTAGACACCCCAAAAATCAATAGTTACTGAAGTCTGGATGGCTCTTTGAGTGGTACAATTACAGCTGTCCAATTGGTCAGTTTTTCAGCTGCTGTTGGGGATCCTAAGCAGCTTCCCTGAAGAGTCCATCTACCCCATACTTTCTCTCCTTATTTATTTGGGTTAGTGTAACAATAACATGTCAATAAAAAAATCTTGTTAAGCAAACAATTTCAAATTTTAAGCAAGAGTAAGTTCCTCAAACCATTAATTAGACAGATGTGTATTTGCAGAATCCGCATGTCTTGAGGGTCCTCACAAACACATCCCAAAGGGTAGATATAGATAAGTTTCCTGTTTTTCTAAAACATATACCTCAGCAATTTCAACAGAGATCTTATCAGAAAGGACACAGGACCCCCTTCCCCTTCTGGCTTCTTGCTAGATATGGTAAAGCCATTGCAGAAGCCTGCTAAGACCTACTGATTTAGCTGCTTTTGGCAATAAGCATGATAATCGATATTCTAGTTATTGATAGTGGTCCAGGCATTTTGCTCGTCTGCTAAAATCTCCCCATACACTAGTAGGTAGCAGGAAGCCATCTATCAGTGCTACTTACCTTTCAAAGTGGAAGCAGTTCTCCATCTGGTCTTCCCAACACGCGCGGTCATCACTTCAGGACATTCTTGTTACACCTGAAACAGGAAGGTTTAGCGATCTCCTCAATCAAGGTTCACCTTGCAGTAATATCTGTTTTCTCAAGGGTCTAGAAAGACTATATCCCCAAGTGCGAGAACCTGTCCCTCCATGGGACCTAAACCCAATCTTATCAAAACTTATGGGTCCCCTATTTGAATCGTTGGCAACATGACCCTTGTTATACCTTTCATGGAAGGTGGCTTTCTTAGTGGCCATTACTTCTGCTAGAATGGTCTCAGAGATCCGTGCCCTCACATCGGAACCTCTGTACACAGTCTCCTTTAAGGACAAGGTGCAGCTACATCCTCACCCAAGCTTCCTCCCAAAGGTGGTTTCCCAGTTTCATAGCAATCAGGCAAGCTTCCTACCCGTTTTCTATCTGAAACCACATGCAAATAGAGAATAACAGCAGCTTCACTCATTGGATGCTAGACATGCTCTAGCATTCTACATAGAACATACCAAACCATTCCGTAAATCCACCCAATTGTTCATTGCAATAGCTGACAGGATGAGGTCTTCCCATCTCTGTTCAGAAAATTTAGTCTTGGATCACGTCATGCATTTTCACATGTTACGAGCAGATGGTGTTCTGCCACCAGCTATCCTGACTGCCCACTCCACAAGAAAACAAGCATCATCAATGGCATTCTTAGTTCACATCCCTATTCAGGACATTTGCAGAGCAGCAACTTGGTCATCAGTGCATATGTTCTCTGCTCAGTATGCCAACAGTCTAGGGACGATGCCAGAATCGGTTGAGCTGTTTTGCAGTAAGCATGTCCATGAACTCCAATCCCACCTTCTATGCAACTGCTTGGGAGTCACCTACAATGGAATGGACATGTGCAAGCACTTGAAGAAAAAACGGTTACTAACCTTTCTGTAACAGTTGTTCTTTGAGATGTGTTGCACATATCCATTCCACGACCCACCCCCTCTATGTCGGGAGCTCTCCGGAAAGAAGAAACTGGGGGAATGGGGTCACTGGGCCCTTTATACGGGCACTATGAGCATGCAGCACCAGAGGGCGCCCAAGCTGCCCCGATGGGTATCATCGAGGGGAAAATTTCCATCGATTGTGCTTGGGGCACGCACACACCTATAGTAGAGTGGAGATGTGCAATACATCTCGAAAAACAACTGTTACCGAAAGGTTAGTAACTTTTTTTTTCTTTTTTACTCTTTCTGGTACCTTTTCTGAGATTGAGGCTAGGGGCAGATCCTCAGCTGCATCTTCTGTAAAAGAAGAGTATGCTATATTCTGTTTAAACTCTTCAAAATTCTCTGTTTTGATCAGCTGACCACTCCAACTCTTGAGTTATGCATTAAGGGAATTTGAACGGATTAAAAATAATATAGAGATTACTTTTCTGTGGCATAAATGAAATAATAGCAGGTGGAAAACCGTCTTTGGGAAATTTGGTCACGGATTCCAGTGAGAATTGAACTGCAGGTGACAGTGTGTCTCATTTTGGAGAAGGGTTTAGTATAAATCTGTTCCTATCTTGCCTCCGGTGGTGATAGCCACACCATGTTTGCTGCAAGAATAATTTAGAAATACGTAGGTTTTGTGTGTGCATGAAGTTAATGAAGTTGGGAATTGAATTTAAGTTTAAATACAAGATGTTCTGCGACCGAAACTCTAGTAGACCAAGATGTCAACATATCCTAGTGCTTACTACACTGGAAAAATCATACTGATGAAGTATATAGGGAAAATGTGAACTAGTATATTCATTCATTTGAATGCATTGATTTTAGGCTTCCTGTTATCATAAATTTGAGTCCTGATTGAACTGAAGTATTCAAAATTACTTGAGTGTGGAGTAGAAATCATTCTCAGCACTTTTTAAGTTACTGAAAGATTATGTTAGCAGTTCTTAGGGAAAGTAGCTGGTATGTAATGTGCTTTTCAAAAACTGAATAAGGGAACATCACAATTCTTTTTGTTACTCATTTTATTATCACTGAAATAATGGTTCAATGACAGCTACTGAAGAATTGAGTGCCTTCCTTCTCTTAAAAAAAAAATCAGGGGAGAAATAAATACCAACTTACAGAATGGGAGGACCTATAATTTATGTGAGGTGTTGACATTTATGCTTATGTCCTTTCAAAAAGAAATCCCAAGTGGGGGTTTTACAGACCGTTCTCATTTATTTAAATATTGTTTTTGTACCATCTATTAGGACATAGAGGTAGAAAATGTCCTCCTTTATTCAATATTTTTCTATTCTTCATGTCACTTCCACAAGACAAACCATTTGGAATTCTTTGTCAATTTCAGGAATTTTTACCACAATTTTGACAGAGGACCAAAGCTGTTCTGTTTTTTTTTAATTATGCTTTTTTTTGCCTGTATTAGTGTACTTAGGGTGGTTCAGAAGGGTGTGTGTGTACGTGTACACATACGTATGTATATACTATATATATAAAACCTGTGCTACCATGAAAAATCATTCAGTCTCTTACTCCGGACAAACTAAATTTAGACTGACAAGAGCCCTTTATCTAATTGCATACTTATATTATATCATTGATTTTTAAGCAGAGTTTCTCATTGATCACAGTGGGGAGATCTACTTAAAAACTGATGGTATGATTTTGGGCTTTGAGAAAGTCCCTGTGGGTAGGCAAATCAGTCTGGAAACGCTCAGTACAGACTGATGAAGAAACATTTATTTATATTTTAAATTGTAGTTATAAAAATGTAACTAGACTGCTTCAGTGTATGTGTTTTAATTGAAATTAGAATAAGTAATAAAATAAATGATTATTCCTACAGTGGACTGTTTTAAAAGCATAGAGTACCTCTCACAAGTTGCTTGTCTTTGAATTACAGACGCATGCCAAGTCTACTGGAGTATTTAAGTTACAACTGTAATTTCATGGGTATCCTGGCAGGCCCGTTATGCTCTTATAAAGACTATATTACTTTCATTGAAGGCAGATCATACCAACTGACACAGTCTGAAGCAAATGGGAAAGAAGATGTAAAATATGAACAAACAGATCCCTCACCAAATGTAAGAACTATGATTTTTTGCAGTGCTGCTATATCTATCTATCTATCTATCTATATATAGTCATTGCATGAAAAGCTTGGTTTGCATTATTCATTTACAGACATAACTTCTCAGATATATCTGGAGTTTATTCAGTGGTACAGTTCTTTGTTTTTTGTTTTTTGTTTTTTAAAAAGTCTTTTTCCTGAAAGGTAGGTGTTCTGCATAGATTCCCACTGTTGGGTCTTCTGAACAAAAGTAAATAATCTTGGAGCTGCCTAATAAGCTTATATGGTAAAATACCACCTTCAGATGAAGCAGTTCATGTGCACTTCCTTACAAGCATATTTGTCTGCATGAACTGCTTCTGAAAATGAGCTGGAAATAATGGGAAAAACCGCATGCATTTTGTCCATGGAAATTGAATGGGAGCTACACCTCTACCCCGATATAATGCTGTCCTTGGGAGCCAAAAAATCTTACCGCATTATAGGTGAAACCGCGTTATATCGAACTTGCTTTGATCCGCCGGAGTGCGCAGCCCCCCTCCCCTCCCAGAGCACTGCTTTACCGCGTTATATCTGAATTTGTGTTATATTGGGTCGCGTTATATCGGGGTAGAGGTGTACTTCAAAGTCTCTTAAACTTTTTTGTTAGCTTCTTTCTGTAGTTCAGGCTAAAACTGCACATTTACATGTAACAAGCCCCTCTAATCAGGTCTTTCTTAGGGGAGAGAGAGCTTTAACATATTTATAGGAACTTTTTCAGTCTTAATTTTTTTTCATTTCTTTATTCATATGAAGGACAAGTAAACAGATTGTTTGTTGTACAGACACAATACCAATGACATACTTGTATCATTATCATACCACACTGCACCCAGAATCCATGCACATTAGGGTTTTTTTATTTGCTCCCTTATCAGAGTGGGGGTCCAGGCACATATGGATGAAAGGCCTGTTGATCATCTGTTGCAAATGATGCACATATGATTTGAATTAAGACCAATGACTATTGACATTTTGTATATTGCCCTTTTTTAAAACTGATCCGTTTTACATTAAGGATACGGAACATACGTGTCCATCATCCTGCACATTAATTCGTCTGACTGTATATATGTACACATATTTGAATTTTAGTCCAAGATACAGTTATCACCTCAAACAGAGAACACAAGGTTATTGTGAATGAACTGGAGATCTCCAAATATATTGCCTCCCCAAATCCATCTCCAACTTACCTTTTCCCTGCTTAACTTTGAATCTTATTTCTGAGCAGGTAGTTGGAAAGTGAGGGTGAGGCCTATGTTCTTGCCTGATGTAGATATGCTTGTGCATATGCCTCAAAGTGGTACTAAACTTTACCACATAATCTTGCTACCAAGCTTGCTATCTGAAGGTCACAAGGCCAAAATATGTGTGAATCTATAAAGGATTCTACCTTCAAAATACTCTAGCTACAGGTAAGCAATTTCCCTTAAATTGTGTTGCTCATACAGTGCTTGATTTTTTTTAATTTTATTTATTTATTTATTTATTTATTTTTAATTTATGCTGCATTCGCTTTTTGACATTAAGATTAAGATAAACTGTCTGTGCTCCTGATACTTCATCTCCCAACTGGTGTTAGACAAATTTGGCGGCATTTTATAACACCAGTGAGTACTGCGTGCTTTTGAAAAAATTGTGGATTATCTATTTGTTTACTGCATTTGCTGTATCATTTACAACCTTGATTGTTTTGTTATGACTCATGTTACAATCCTGTTATCTTAATAAAATGATTATCTAAAGATATTTTCCTAGATTTTCATATTAATTTTACTTTTTAAAGAAAAACAAATCATTAGGTAACTTATCAAAATAAGAAACTTAATGAGGATCAGCAAATGTTAATATCTTAGATGGAAGAATCTTTCAGCTAAATTTACTATATGTTTCCTTTCTTGTCAAATTTTATTTCTATAACATCAAATATTCATGCCAGCCTCCTCCTGTACACTTGTGTTAAGTGCATGACATGAATCTAGTCTAGCATTTTACTGTGTTAATTGCATGTTAACTGAATCTAGTCAACATTTTAAAATGATTTATTTCATATCTCCCTCCTGTTATGCCTTTTTACAAGCTATCATTTGTTGGTGCTCAAAGTGGTGTCAACAGTCAGAAATTAATATCTATCTTCGTAAGTTTACTTTTATTATAGCTGTTAGCTATCCTTAAAATACAGGATTCCTGTGGAAAAAGTCTCCCTGCTTTTGGCTTCTTAGGGTAGGTCTACACTACCTGGTAGTTCGGCGGCAAGCAAATCAAACTTCTGGGTTCGACTTATCGCGTCTTGTCTGGACGAGATAAGTCGAACCCGGAAGTGCTCGCCGTCGACTGCAGTACTCCAGCTCAGCGAGAGGAGTACCGCGAAGTCGACGGGGGAGCCTGCCTGCCGCGTCTGGACAGAGGTAGGTTCGAACTAAGGTACTTCGAACTTCAGCTACGTTATTCACGTAGCTGAAGTTGCGTACCTTAGTTCGAATTGGGGGGTTAGTGTAGACCTGCCCTTAGACTATTTTTAGATGTTGATGCGGTTGCTAATTGCCTGCAGTTTTTAACTAACTGATTGTATAGTAATCTCAAATATAGTAAGCTTTATTATAGTTCATTAATTTACTGAACTAATTTTTGTGTGTGCATCACCCAAGAAGATGTAAAAATGAATCCATTTCAATAGAAGTGTAAAAGTTTGCCTGGAAGTTTTAATTGCTTAAGGACTGATCCAAAACTCTATGAAGTCAGCAAGAATCTTCCTATAGACATAAGAGGGCTTTGTATCAAGCCCTAGGTGCTGAAAGGATAACAAGATTGCCCAACAGAATTTTTTTGCCAGGTTTGGTGATCTCATTTTTCCAAATTCATAATGAAATAGAATTGTGAGATCCCGATTGGTTGGTCTGTTACTTAAAAGACAGTAGTCAGTTACTGGGGCAGTAAAAATCATAGCAAACTGAAACTTTGTGGTGATCAGGGCCAAGGACTACAAAATTGCATTCATTAACTTGAATGACTGAACATCTTTCAAGTATGATATTGATACTTGCGTAATGTTTTGTCACCATGAAACTATGGCAGTGTCTGACCAGTGAAATATGGTCTCTTAAACTGCTTTGTGTTTAGGTAACGAATACATCAGATCAGTGTTTTTAGAGAAGGGTATTTCTGGTTTATGCTGAAAAAAGCAGCTTTCCTGTTATATAGAGACTTTTTAAAGTAGAAGGTTTGACCAACATTTGTAAATGGCAAAAGCTAATAGCAACATCTCATCAGCCGTCCTCTAGAAAGGATTTTACTTGTTATATGCTTTGACAGACTACCTTGAAAACATGAACTGGTTATTCTGATACTCTTACGTGAATTAACATTTTTCAAAACCACACTTACATAGGAAATTGAGTTGCAGCTTTTGTGATCTTGGGTGAGGGTCAATATTCTTCTCACACAAACTAATTCAAAATCTATATGCTATGTGTTAACCTCAGATTCTGTTAGAGGCAGGGACTGTCTTCTCCTGTGTTTGTAAAGTGCTAGAATAATGGGTCACTGAACCTGACTGGGGATCTCTGGGGTTTACTGTCATACAAATAATACATAAGAACAATAGCAAAATGGTATTATGAACTTAAAAATCAACATAATGAGCAAAACCATAATAAAATTATGACAAGTTGTCATCGTCTTACCTAGACATTTATCCTAAAACATACAGTGTAAATATAATAATAAAATATTTAAACAGAATAATTTTTGGACACATTATTTTCTCACAATTGTAGACCAAAACCACCAGTTTCATAGTTTTATGGTTTGGATTTTAAAAAGTGAACTAAATTCCAGCAAAACTCGCAATGTTATCTACATTTCACATTAGACAGCATCCACTACCTAGCAGTCACTTGTGCTCATTTGTACTCAATTTGTGTGAGTACAAATGCCTTGGATTTGCACCCATGTATTTGCACTGACTGTGTGCACGTGCAAATAAATGGTTTGTGTGTATAGATTAGGTATTTGTTTATGTAAATTACACATGTACTAACATGTGTGAATAATTGTGAGTAACTTGTGGAAATTCAGCCCTTTGTTTACATCCCCAGAGAACAAGGGATTAATGCCATTCAGCCTTTCCCTTCCCTTGAACAGGAACTCAGGGGAAGGAATAGAAGAGTGGCTGAATAGGAGACAAAGGGAAGAATACTTTTGGGAAATTAAGGCTCCTCACCGAGAAGTCTCAGGATGGAGTTGAACATTAAAAAGGTTTTTTTTCTGCTTACTTTCTGATAATTATTTTACTTTCTTGATAAACACCAACCCTTGAGGAAGAAACCTTGCTGACTCCAACTGCTGAATTATCCAAGCTTTTCTGCTGAATTATCCAAGCAGTTTATTTAATTCTGTTGAATCATTCTGTTATCTTGCTCTAAAACCTTTTTTGAGACAATTCTCTCACAGAGTTCTGTGATATGTAAAAGTCACTAACCACACCTCCTCAATGCTCTCTCTGCTTACCATCTCCCTCACCACCAGAAAGCGCAAGAGCTCATGTGAACCACTATTAATGTTTATGCAGATATGCCAATATCTTCAGTAATCTAATCTTAAATCTTTGACAACATGAAGGATTTAAGAGTCACTTAGAGGAAAGGGATCACATGGCAGTTTTGTAGGTTTGGGTACTTAACATTTTTTTAAGGATTATAAATTTGAAATATTGAAAGTCTGAAGTATTTAACCAGTATTCTTGGCCTCTGTTCTACATAGGTTTTTATACCACCTTCATCACCATGGTATCTGAGCTTGCCTTCCAGTCGCGCATTAAGCAACATGACTAATATCTGACACGTTTGTTCTTTCATCCTCTCCCCAGAAGGAGGTGTGTGTGCAGTGGAATGTATTGTTTTGATAGGGTTATTATTTTATAAACATACCTGTTGCTATGTGTTTTTGTTAAAGAAAGCAAGGTGGCTTGCA